GGCGTTTTTTTTGTTTTTCTTAAAAGTGAGGGGCATTTTTTTTTTTTTTGTTGTTTTCGTTTGTTCGCATATCAGAAAATATATTCATTCGATTTTGATCATCATCGTTAACGACGACGACGACAACAGCAAACAGCAAAAAGCGTTTTGTTTTAAAATCGGTAAGTTTTTTTTTTGGAAAATTTTTGTAAATCAAAAATCAAACAAACAAACACACTATTGATCTATCGATCGATTCGATTGATTGATTGACAATCAAATTGTGAATCTAATTAAAGTTTTGAAAGTTTTTTGGAGAAGAACATCATCATCAGTAAGTTTCATCATCTGACATGACATGATGGATGGATGTCAATGTCGAATGTCAATTGGGTTTTTTTTCATTCGAACATTCGATTCACCTTTGACTTTGCATCAACAAACAAAACCAAAAGCACACGACTTGTTTAACCAAAAAAAAAAAACTTTTCAATTTAAACTTTGTCCAATTTGATGATAATGAAGATAATGATGACTAATCTATAAAAAAAAATCTTTGTTTTATGAACCTTAAGTTTTTTTTCTTTTTTTTAAAAAAAACGAAGTAATTTTTTTTTGTTTTCCAATTGCAGATTTCTACATTTTCTTCACCCCAAAATCAATTGAAAGATAATCAAAAACACATTATTAATACCTCTTATTATCAAAAATCAACGTTATCATTTCGAGCAAAAGTTGAACGAAAAAAATTTTCCATAAAATTTTTTTGTATTGCGCTTATCTTCTTCAACATTCGAATCGAACAAATCGAACATTGAAAATCGTAAAATTTTCAATATCATTTCTCTCTGTTATTCTTCTTCTCATTTGGTGTTACCTCAGCCTATTTGAAACTCAAAAAGCATTAAAATGAAGAATTTAATCATTATTTACGTTGTTATTGCCATTATAGGTAAGTTTTCTTTGGCTATCATCATTAAATTAATGGATTTTCTCTCTTTCCTTTCCTTTCGATTGAACGAAAAAAAGTATCATTATGTCAATGTCAACTATCTGGACATCCAGATAATAAGACAACGACAACAACAACAACTACGACTACAACTCAAAAACCAACAACAACAACTCAAAAACCGACAACAACAACAACAACACCGAAACCAACACCAGTCGTTATTGTAACACCAATAGTTGATGGAAATATTACCGATAATAAAAATCAAACACATATTTGTTTACGTTATCATTTTTCATTATTAATGCGTTTAGCTTATTTGGACGAAAAAAATCAAACACAAATGGAAGATATTTGGTTACCAAAAGAATCACGAGTTTATTCTGATCATTGTCAATATGAAAATATTGAATCATTTTGGTTTGAATTTAATCAAAATAATTCATTAGTTAATATGACATTTGAACGTAATGCAGCATCAGTATATTTATCATCAATTTATGCTGATATTAAACTATCAAATATGAATGAAAATGTTATTATAAATATAACACAACCGAATCCAAATTTTAATGTTGATAAATCACATTCATATGTTTGTGCCAATAATATTACAATCAAATCAATATCAAATGTAAATGATAAAAAATTGGAATCAGAATTTTTATTTTCAAATATTTCTATGCAAGCATTCATGCCATTTACACAGAATGGTCAATTTAGTGAAGGTAAGTTTTATTCGATTGAAATTTTGATTTTTTAACTTTTTGGTTTGATTTTTTTTACCCAAAAACAGAACATAATTGCCAAAATGAAATCAATGATGTTGTACCGATTGCTGTTGGTGCTGCATTAACTGCATTGGTTATTATTGTTATGATTGCTTATTTTATTGGTAGACGTCGTAGTCGTCGTTTAGCTTATCAATCGGTTTAAATCAAATCAAAACAAAACAAAATTGAAATTCCGGTAGTGTGGTCATCATGATTATTGTTGTCGACAACAAACAACAACAAAAAAATCTTATTCGAATGGATATTAAACAACAATTTTATCTCGCTCTTTTCAAATCAAATCGGCCTTTTCTCACACATAAACATTTCCTGGATTTTGGGGCTTTTTTTTCTTTTTCAAAAAAATTAGTTAATTTTTTTTCAACATTCATTCTTAATCTATACACACAAACATTCAAACAATCTACACATACATAGATGATATTAATCAATCGATCAACCTTACCAATATCGGCTTACCTGGCTATATTACACTTGATCATCTTATGAAATCAACGATATACACCACTAAACAAAACAAACAAACCATAAAAAGCATCAACACTTTTTACTCTCCCTTTTTCCCTCCTCTTGATTTACTAACTTGGCTTTCTTTTTTTTCACATTCAAAATTCCTTTTAGTTTTTAAATATTTTATAAGAAAAAAAAACACAAAAAAAACTGTGATAAAATATTATGCAGAAAAAAATGTTTTGATTTTTTTTATTCAAAAAAAAGGGGGTAAAGCATTCGAGTGAGTGAGTGTGTTTGTGATTTGGATCAATATTTACATAGTGGATAAATTCATATTTCATTGATGAGGATTACGAAGATGATGGCGGAGGCGACGATGGTCGTCGAACAGTACCAAGAAATAAAATCATATTTGTTGATATATCACGTATCATATACAAAAATGGACGATTAGCAATAAATTCGGTAGGAAATGCTGGCCGACCGCTACGAGCAAAAATCATTGCAGTTGCTGCAGCTGCTTCAGTACCTTCTTCATTAACAGCAATAAATGATTTATGTACTACTGAATCCAGGGCAATTTTATTCGGTGATAATGTTGATGATTGATTTGAATGATTACCATTATTATCGGCAAATATTAATGCAAGATTAGCATAACGTGGATCGAATAATTTTTTAATGCCCATCGAAAACAATGCACCGGCTAATTCAAATTCTTGTTCTGCTTGAAATTTCGGTATCATAACCATAACTTCATCATCATACATTTGATCAAATAATTGTTGAAGTTTTGATAATGATAAATCACGAATCAATGAATCCAGTGACCGAGATGGATCCGGCAGCAAAATGACCATTGAATAATCTGGATTTGAATATGGCAGTTCGATAGCTGTTACAGCCAATTGATCTGATAGACCGAACATAACACTAGCTGAATCCAAACGCATCATATTACATTCTAAATGTTCTTGATTTGAAACATGAAATAATTGCCGTTCGGTACGTGAAGAATCAAATTGTTGTGCCCAAAATGATTTAAAATAAATTGCATTAACCATCATTATTTTGGTCATTGGTGTTATCGTTCCCGGTACTATAAGATCATTTATTTTGCCTATGCGAATGAGTGAAAAAAATTCGTTAAAATCGTTCGAATCTTTGGTTTCCGACTATTGTGACTTACCTTTAGTTTGATCATTAACCCAACCATTAATTTCTTGAACACATTGTTCGGGTCTGGTTGAAAATGGTTTCAATTCAATTTCATCATGAAAAATCTGTTCAAAACAATTATTCAATTGGATTTGATTATCAATATAAAGTTTATTTGCACTTGATACTAATGTTGAATCCGATCCATTAGTTTTATTGCTATTCGCTTGCATCGTTTTCATTTGTTTCCACCATTTTATACTACGATATGCTAAGGCAACACTTGATTTACTTAATTGATTCAATTTCAAACGATTACTTAATTCTTGTTCAGTTTCACCTTCCGATCCTAGATAAGCGATAATCATTGTTGACCAAATTGATGCCGGTGAAAATATTAAACCATTTGATGTTTGTTTTGGTTCAAAAAGATTCAATGTTTTAAATAAACGAATAGCAAAAAATTTTGCACCATCCAACATAATACGACTAACATTATCAATATTTGTTAGTGAATCATTGTTGGTTTGATTTGTCGTTTGATGAAAACAACGATTAATATCATCACCACCAAGCATTTTAGTTAGATTCATTGATGAATCTAACATTGGTGATATAACGATATTTGGATGATTACTGTAAACCGAATGCCAAACGCTGATCATTAACAGTAATGATAATAAGGAAATTTTCGCAGACATTTTTTGCGGTTTTGTTTTCGATGAAACGCAGATGATGATCTATGAAATGAAATAAATAAAGTTAAAACTTTTCAGACAAAAAAATTTTCAATTCAAACAAAAAAAAAGATGAATAAACAAAACGGTGGTGAAATAACGATGATGGCGTTGAAATAATGTCAACAACAACAGCAAATTTTCATGGTCAAATCAATCAATCAATCAATTGGAAAACTGAAATGTCAACATTTTTTTCATTTTTTTCATCACCAAATTCAGCGATAAAATTTTTGGTGTGTTACCTGTTGATTCGATCAAGGTTACAATACTTTATGAATGAATCATACTCGTTCGAATATAAAAACATTTGTCACGTGTTTTCGATTGTTTTCGATTATTTCGTTGAAGAAATTCTTTGATTTTTTTCGATGATAAAAATGTCTAATAACCATAAAACGAATGGAATACGATTATTCAATCATATTCGTAATGATGAAAATCTGAAAAATTTATTAATCAAAGAAGATTTTGCATTATTATTGAACGCATTTGAATCACAATTTGAATTGGATTCGATCGAATCATCAAGATCAGAATTCGACATTGACTCATTATTTTCGAAAAAATTACTTAATTTTGTCATTAATAATTGCAAGTAAGTCAAGTAAATAAAAAACAAAGATCTCCCTCGACTAAAACTAAATCAATTTTTTCCACAAAGTATTATATATTCACTATCTGCTGTGATCGTATTAGCTACATTGATCTTATCCGATTCAATAACCCAATGGATGGATTTATTGATCATTTTATTTGCTTGTCTGATTTCCTTCGTGATATTATGGTTAAAAAGGTAATGTTCATTTCTGATGATTTTGATAAACACTTACAGTTTTTTTCTTTTCTTTTGTTTTCGAAATTTTAGAAATCAAATCGGTTGCAATGAATTATCATTAATCAAATTAGCTGAACAAATCAATAATGAACGTCAATCGTTGACAAAATTAAAAGAATTGATTGAAGATAATTGGAATAACAATAATAATAATGTTGAAAATAATTGCTTAACAAGATTGGCAATAAATTTCCGGGATATTGGTATCCGTTGTGCACAAGATTTTCGTCAACAAACATTAACATTAAAAGAATTATTACCATTAAAAGCTGATATTGATGATAATCTTTTATCAACGATTCCTGAAAATTTATATGAATCCTATAATAATTGTGATATGGATAATATTCGAACATTAAAATCATTACGACAATTAATTCGGTTGCAGATATCGGAATTTTTCAAACGAATATTATTGGTTTATGTTCGAAATTATCATCTGAATGATGAAAATTTTATGGAAAAATTTTCCAATCAAAATTTTATCGAAAAATTCAATGAAATCATACGGAAAATGATGGAAAATTCAATTGGTCGACAAAAAGAATTATTGAAAATTATTTCATTTCATAAATCATTCTATCTACCATCCACTATTCGTGATAATGATGATAAAAACGTTGATAAAATGAAAAATGAATTGAAAATTTTATGGCAAAATTTTCGAAATATTCGTAAATGTTTATATCGTTCGATCAATAGTATTGATGATTGTGAAATGATTGTTGATCAATGCGACAACGACGATAATGTCGCTACCACTACCACCGAAACATCTGATCTCAAAATGATGAAAGCGAATTTCGATTGTAAACTAGGATCGATTGCCGAACAGTTAACAACAGCACAGGATATGATTCAAACGATACGACGATCATTACAACGTAATGATAATCGACAACGAATCAATTCCGAACCGATTACTCAAAATAACGATATTGATTCGAATATCGACGATAATAATCGATCTGGTCGAAAAATCAATTTGATTCAGGAATCTGAACCACCAAAAGATGAAGTATTTGAAGCATTTATTGATAATAATGATAATTTTCAAAGATCGAATGTTTTCAATGATTATGATCAAGATGATGATGATCAAATGGATAATGAAATGAAAATAATGGAAAATAATATGTTTAATGAATTACGAACAGCATTAAAAGATAAACATATTGAACATAGAATACGTGAAGCACGTGCACAAGGTTTAAATGTAAATATTGAACAAATTGAAAATGATTATTATCAACAACAACAACAACAAACAATACCAAAACAATTAATGTTCGATGATACTAATCATGATAATAGTGATGGTCGAATCGAAACAATCGATTCTCAACAGCAACAACAATCATCATCATCACCGGTAATGGGATTGAATTTAAAATTTGATTTCAATTTAGCAATGAATGATTCGAATCAATTAAAATGGCGTCTAATGATGAATGATGATGAAGAAATATTCGGTGATAATGATGATTGTGATGATTGTAACTAGTCTACAACAACAACAACAAAACGATTGAATCAACACTTACCTCACTTTTTTTTCGATGTTATATCTGTTATTTTTTGGCCAAAGATTAAATTAAAAACTTTTTTTTCATTCAAAACTTTGTCTTCGAAGCGAAATTTTTCCCGTTTTAATTGATTTTGGTAAAATTTCCCCAGTTTAGTTGTTGATGATTGCGTTTGGAAAGAAACTATTCGATCTATCCATCCATCCATTCAGCAACTTTGAGAGCAAACCGAACAAGAAAATCAAAAAAAAAACCCCAAAATGAAACCTGATTTACTTGTCTTGTCATTGCGTTTTTTTCTTTGGAAAGTTATTTTTTTCTCTTTCAGAAATTTCCTATTTTTGACTGACTGACTGACTGGGACTATGTTTTTCCCCATGATAATGATGATGATAATCTTTATTTCTTTCGCAAGGAGAAAAATATATCGGCTGTTCATCAACATCTTTATTATTATTATGAACAATAATCTTTTATGTTGAGAAAATTAGGTGAAAGAAACGAAAAAAAGAGAGAATAGATAATGGAAAATGTGTAGTTGAAAGAAAAGAAAAACCATGAAAAATAAAAGATTAGTTGATCCAATGGAATGAAATGACCTTATTCTTTTTTTCTTTCATTCATTCATTCATCTGATAAAAGTATGATACCAAAAATAGCTTCGATAGGATATTCAATGAAATGATGATGATGATCTTTTCGTATAGAAAAATCTTGAAAATTTGTTCAGGCAAAAAACATTGTTGTTGATGAATGTTGAATGTTAATGTTGATGATCAATATGATGTTGCAAAATAAAATATATCACTACGAATTGGTTTTAAATGTTTTTTCATTAAATCGGATGAATGATGATGAAAATAAGCAGCAATCGAATACATTAATTGATTGGTTTCAATATTTCGTTCCAAAATTTGATTAATATGTTCATCATTTGTTTTTGATGATAATAATTCTACACGAATTTTTAACATCATTGTTGTAAACATTATCAATTCAGGATGTAGATCACTACGATAAATACGTTTTAACATATAAAATATTTTCAAACCTAATTCATATGATTCGATCCAATTATTTTCATCAAATAATTGTTTAAATTTTTGTAATAAACGATAAAGTTTATCACAATTAATTGAATCACTTTTTTCACAACGTTGACATTTACAAACAAAATAATAATAACAAAAAAGTTCTTTTTGACGAATATTTTTTGGATATTTTAAATCCAAATAACTGATTGAAATTTCATCACCCGATTTAATTGATTCAAGTGCTTCGATTACAATTCGATAACCATCATATATAATAATAGCATTCGGCAGACATGAATGATTCAATTTGGATTCAGCCAAATAAATACCGGAACCAATTTTGTTTACAGGACAATCAAATATCGGAAAACAATTGATACGAATTTTACAGAAAAATTCCAATAAATTTTCCCGATCAAATTCAATTTGGATTGATTTGAATTTTGAACAAATTGTTTGAAAAATTTCCATTGGATTTTGATCATTTTCAATTTCTTGACGATGTGTAATTAGATCATTAAAACAACGATTATTATTTGTATTATTATGATGACCAAATTTATATTGTTCATTGGATAATGAATCCGGATAATGTTTAGCATATAAATATAAACGTAATAAAAATCGACAAAATTCCGGCTGAATAATATGGAAATATTTTCGATATATTTGACATTCTAATTCATGTTTAATCGAATCTTTTTGTTTACATTCGATTTGACAATAGAACATTTGTTTACATTGATCACATTTTTGTTGTTTGCTATTTTTGATTCTGTTTAGCAAAAAACAAAGCAATAAAAAATCAATCAATCATCAGTGTATTTGTTCCAGTAAAATACTTACAATTTAACAAAACAATAATCACAATAATCTCCTTTTGAATTTTCATTCAATACATGTACAAATGGTAGATTACTACTGATAATATTACCAGCTTTATAATTACGATTACTTATGATCATCGTTGTTTGAGCAAATTTTGAAAATTAGAAAATTTAATTTTTTAAACGTAACTTAAAAAATTCAACAAAATAGAAATGATTTTTCCGAAAAAGTTGAGTCACTCAAACACACTTACACAGGAAAAACAAAGTATTCATGTTTCAAAATAATCGATAGTTTCGTTCATCACATTTTAAATAAAAATCAAGTTTTTTTTTTAAATTTTCTTTATTGGATAAACCAAAATATGATTTTTTTTTGTTGTCAAAAATGAAATTTATTAAATACAAAAAAAAAGGGATGTGATTAAATATTGGTTGACATCGAAAAACAAAATTACAAGAAATTTTTTCTTTTGTTGATTCATTCTTTTATTGTGAAAAACTTTGCAATATGCATTGCTGGCTTATTTTCACATGTTTCACAAAAATAGTTGATATGTTTTCTTCCACCGGGTTTTTTTTCTATCCGGAACAAACACGCTTTCTTTTTCCAACATCAAATATGTGTAATTTGTGTTTTCTTGATCAAAAAGTCTTTTGTCTTCCTTTTGGCGAATCCGATTGGATTGACAATTCCGAAATCGTCTGCATATAAAATCAGAAATAAATTCAGCATTTCTCGCTTTTCGACATAAGGTAACACAACAAATTACTTGGTTTTCGCTCAAATGAAAAAAATCGATGCCATAATTTTCTTAAAGTTGATGTTTTTTTAATATATTTTTTTGTTGAAAACCTCGGCAAAAATCCATTGTTTTGCGTCACTTTGGCCAATAAAATCGACAATAGACTAAGTTCGACCAGGTTCAAGAAGTTCATATAGTAAATCAGAACTCCAATATCCCATCCGAAAAAGAAAAAAAAAACAGATAGCAATACTTTTCTTTGGTGAAGTTCTCGTCTACGGTAACCACCAAACGATAAACGAAACGATTCGTTGCTCGGTTTAAGCAACAATGAATTCGAAAAACGTTTTGTTCACAGTTAATATATTGTTGTTATCAAAATAATGGAAAAAAAGTTCGATTTTTTTTTATTATCATTCGTTTTATAGAATTTCGAACAGATAGAAAAAAAGTTACAAAAAAAAGTTAGATATAGAAAAAAAACGTGTTCGATAATCGATAGTTTCGTTTCATGCTCGGTTATCGTTCGATGCTCAAGGATTAGTCCATGGATTAATGCATTAATGTATCACACCTCGAATATTACAGAGAGCAATACTTTTCTTTGGATGAAGTTCGGTGTCGAAAGCTTTGGACGTTATCATAAAGCACCCATTTTTCATCTCCAGTTACCAAACGATCAAAAAACGGTTCGCTTCTTTGTTTTAAGCAACAAAGAAGTGCAGATAGATAAACGCTGTGTACGATTGTTTGCCGTCAAAGTGTGTGGGACCCACCGACCAGCTTTGCATTTTTTGCCCAACGACTTAAGATGTTCGAATATTGTCGAATTCGAACAATCAAACATTATCGCCAATTCATCAGTNACCTCTTGAGGTCTTCCAGATCTCGGTTTATCTTCAAGACTGAAATCACCTTCTCTGAATCGCTTGAACCATCGTTGACAAGTTGGAGAAGTCACAGCGTTTTGGATAAGCTTTATTGATTTCGAGTGTTGCCCTCGTTGCGTTGCCATGTGCCCGAAACCAATAAAGCATTAAAAATCGAAGTTGTTTTCGTATTTTTCGTTGGAAACCAAAAACGAGCAAGAACTGAAATAACGCTTTCGAAAACGAACACGGAAATCGAATGTTTTGATAAATCGATAGTTTTGATAATCGATAGTTTCGTTCATCATATCATTCAACTAACGTCTTTGCAGGTTAGTCATTTCATATTTACATTGCTTTGTTTAATTTTCGATTTTACTCATTAATTTCTTTGTTGATAGAAATATGGAATTTACATCTGAAAAATTTAATCTCAAAACTGATTTTCATTATTGGCGACAACCTATCAGTTGCTGAATTACTTGGATTTAAACAATCATTTGGACCAAATTTCGTTTGCAGGTAATCATTTGTTTTGTTTTGAAAAAAAAACAGCATTAATTATAAACTTAATGAGAAAAAAAAGAGTAAAATCTATCTGCAAAGAAAACTTACAATAGAATAAACAAATAACAAAATAGAATGTGGAAATTCACGATTGAATGTGTAAATTTCGCAATCAAAAAAATACAAAATTACATTTGGAATTAAATTTACCTCTCCATTTTTTATAAAAATTGTCTGGATTGTATTCATGCAGAAATTTGAGTTTTTTTCACGACTCATCGAAATTTTTCCGGGAATCCATTCCCGGAAATTATTTTCTCATCAAATTTATACGACGCTTCAAGGAATTCATCGAATTTCACGATAAATCAGAAAATTTATTATTACTGATATTATCTTTTTAAAATGGATGATAGAAAAAATGGCATCGCCAAAATCGCATTTTATTTCTCATTATTCAGATATGATCGATTATTATAAGGGAGATTTTCAACAATGTGCTTCGAAAAGAAGCATCGTTTTATCAAGACACTTGTTAAAACATTCCAGAAATTTGTGGAATATTACAACACTATTTACAAACAATTTGCGAACAATTTTTCCAATACATACACACACACAAATACTCAAAATTTTAAAATACTATAAAGTTTCGTTCATCTGATTTGATTGTAAATAAAAAAAATCAATTTTTTTTCACTGTTTTTATTTTTTTTTTTTCATTGATAAACAAAGTATGATTTTTTAAAAATGTAATGGATTAAACATTAGATATGATGAGATTAAATATTTCAATTTTCAACATTGAATTCAACATTTGCCAATGCTTTCATAAGGGAAACATGTGCCACTTCTTCACGATCAAAATAGATATTTTTAAATATTTCATTGTAAACAGACGGAAGTGTAATTTCTAGGTTTTTTGCCAATTCTACAACCGATAATTCTTCAACATCATTGTCAAGTGCATAATTTTCTAATATAATAATTTTTAGTAAAAGTAGACCAAAATCACATTCATTACAATACTGGCTTATAAATGACAAATATTTCTTAAAAATTGGAAATTCAAATATTTTGTTCAAATAGCTGGACATAGCTTTTTCATACATTTCATTCAATTCTTTTTTGATCATTGAAGTTTTCGATACACATTCATCACATGGATGTGGCAAAGTAGGAAGGATCATCGATACTGGTCCCGATTTAAAAGGTATTGTTTCATTAATAAATTTAAAAAAATTGACGGTAATTTGTTCACCAGATTTGATCGGTCTTGTTGTACGCATTACAAGTTGAGTACCATTGAACAAGATTGAAACATCTGGTGAACAGGAATGTTTCAATTGTGATTCGGCCAAATATAAACCTAAGCCTAAAGGTTGCAATTCATAATTGAAAATATTCAAACCATAGTCGTAACATATATCACGACATAACATCTTTATCGTCCAGTCAATATTCCTTGAGTTGGATTGTTGGCCCATGGACAAAAAATGAAAAAATTTCTTCCGATGGAACGTTGGAGGTTTCTGATTTTTGATATCAATAAGGCATACAAATGAATTTTCATCGTTTAAAAATTTACGATGTTCCCACAAACGAAATGGCTTGTCTTTCAAGAACATATTCAATCGTAACATAAGTCGAAAAAGTAAATCCTCTTGTAGTCCAGTTAAATTGAGTTGATCAAAATTTTCTTTATAAATTTTACATTCCAATTTATGTTGAATCCAATCTTTTTTCTGACAATCTATTCCACAATAATACATTTTTTTGCAATTGCAACATCTTCCTAATTCATTACTTTTGCTTTAAAGAACAAATTATTTAAAGAATATTTTGTTTCGAAATGAAAACTACAAACAAAACTTACCGTTCAACGAAACAGTAATCACAATTTTTACCTTTAAGTTCTTTTCTGAGAACATGTACA